TCCTTCTCCTATGATGCTGCTTGGCCTGCTGTCTTCATTCAGCTCTTCACCTTGTTTTCTCAGTTTAAAGTTGAGATGTTAGTTCTCAAGCTCAGCCACGATCCTATTGAATGGTGGAGCAGGCTTAAAGAGTTGAATGAACTAGTCCTGCTCCCATTTCATATTTCCTTCACTGGAACTGTGCAGTAGGTCAAGGACGGAATAACACAATCACATAGGTGTTACAGTGCAGAGCAGGCCAGCCAGCCCATTCTGCCCACACAAGCTTGTTAAATGAGTATCATTACCTGGTGCCAATCTCTTCATTTTTCCCCACACTGTTGCACATTACTTTTATCCAAATTATCATCCAATGCCCTCATTAAGGCCGCAAATGACCCTACCTGCACCATACTTCCATGCAGTGCATTCCACACCCTAACTACTTGCTGAATGAGTGTTTTTCTTCACTTCAGCCTTGCTTCTTTGGCAGATCACTTTAAATCCGTACCCTCTTGTTCTTGTCCCTTTTATGAGCTCTCCTTAGCTACTCTATCAAGCCCACTCAATTTGTAAATCCTCTATCAGGTCTCCTCTGAGTGTTCTCAGCGTAAGACAGGTTGCAAACATCAACAGCATGTAGGAGACAATTGACTCAGTGAAAGACGCTCTTAAGTCTGTCTGACACTTGCTAAAGCAAAAATAAAAACCGAATGAACTGCAGATGCCGTAAATCAGGAACAAAAACAAAGTTGCTGGAAAAGCTCAGCAGGTCTGGCAGCATCAGTGAAGGTGAAAACAGAGTTAACATTTCAGGTCCAGTGACCCTTCCTCAGAAGTGATGATCACTGGGAAAACGTCAATTTATATGCAAAAAAGAGGGAGGTGGGTGGGGTAGGGACTAAACGATAGGATAGAGCCCAAAGAGAGAGAAAGACAGTTGGACAGACAAAGGAGTTGCTAACGATCAGGCTGGGAGGGTGAATAGTTGTTAATGGGGACTGTTAGTGACTAACAACAGTGGGTGTGTAGTGGCAGGCTATGTGGTAACAAGGCCTGGTGTGTGGGATAGGGGGCTGGGACATGGGAGCCAAATTATTGAAATCAGTATTGAGTCCAGAGGGCTGTAGGGTCCCCAAGTGGAAAATGAGGTGTTGTTCCTCCAGCTTGTGTTGGGCTTCGCTGGAACACTGCAGCAAGCCAGAGACGGAGATGTTGGCCAGGGAACAGCGTGGTGTGTTGAAGTGGCAGGCAACAGGTAGTTCAGGGTCTTTAATTTTATGGCCTAAACTCTTCCATGTCCCAGCCCCCTACCCCACACACGAGGCCTTGTTACCACATAGCCTGCCATTACACCTGTAATGGTGGATCACTGGACCCGAAATGTTAACTGTCTTCTCCTTCATAGAAGCTGCCAGACTTGCTAAAGCAGTTTTGCTGCCTAAAACTTGCTAAACTCTCAGGTGGTATGGTGGTTCAGTGGTTAGCACTGCTGCCTTACAGTGCCAGGAACCTGGGTTTGAGTCCAGCCTCGGGTGACTGTCTATATGGAGTTTGCATGTTCTCCCCATGTCTGTATGGCTGTTGTACCACAGTCCTAAGGTGTGCAGGTTAGGGTGGATTGGACGTGCTAAACTGCCCCATAGTGTCCAGGGATGTGCAGGCTAGGTGGATTACCATGGAAAATGCAGCATTTTCGGGATAAGATAAGGGGTGGATCTGGGTAAGATGATGTTTGGAGGGTGGTGTGGGCTTGATGGGCCCAGTTCTTCGACACTGTAGGGATTAGTGTCATAGGGTCATACAGCCCGGAAACAGACTCTTCAATCCAATCACTCTATGCTGACCATAATCCCAAACTAAACTAGTCCCACTTGCCTGCACTTGGCCCATATCCCTCCAAACATTTCTTATTTATGTACTTGCCCAAATGTCTTATGTTGTACCTATACCTGCATCCACCACTTCCTCTGGAAGTTCATTCCACAGAGGAACCAGTCTGTGTTTTTAAAAAAAAAAAAAAAAAAAAAAAAAAATTGCTCCTCATGTCTTTTTTTAAATCTCTCTCCTCTCACCTAAAAAATGTGCCCCCTTGTCTTGAAGCACCCCACTCATAGGGAAAGGATACCTACCATTCACCTTATCTATTCCCTTATGATTTTAAAATCCTTTTATAAGGTCACATTTCCACCTCCTAAGCTCTCGTGAAAAAAGTGCCAGCCTATCCAGCTTCCCCTTATAACCCAAACCCTCCATTCCTGGCAACATCCTGGTAAATCTCTTCTGAACCCGCTCCAGCTTAATAATATCCTTTGTTTAAGAGGCAGACCAGAACTGGACACAGTACTCCAGAAGAGGCCTCACCAAAATTCTGTACAACTTCAACATAATGTCCCAACTCCCATACTCGAAGGTCCGAGCAATAAAGGCAAGCGTGCTAAACATCTTCTTAATCGTATCCTGTGTTGGTGTGGGAAATGCCGTGGAAAGGGGACGAGGGTGATGAAGAATGACTGAGCTATCAGAGAGGGAAAGGTTCCTTTGGAATGCTGAAAGGGAGGAAAAAGGAGGGCAAGATGTGTTTGGTGGGGGAATGTGCTGAAGGTAATAGAAAATGATTCTTTGAATAAAGACATTGGTGGGAAGAAGCTGAGAAACATGGGGAAACCTTAGTATGACAAACTAATGGGACTGAAGGCAGACAGATCACTAGGACCTGATGGCCTGAAGCCAAGGGCTTTAAGGAAGCGGCTGCTGAGATTTCCTGTGGAGGAATTGGATGAAAATCCCAGAACTCACTGGATTCCAGGAGGGTTCCAGCAGAGTGGAAAGCTGCTAAGCCCCTTTTCAAGGGAGGCAGACAGGAAACAGGAAACTATAGGCTACTTAGCTTAACATCCGTCAGTGGGAAAATGCTAGAGTCCATTATGAAGGATGAAATATGACATTTAGAAAAGCTTAATGCACTCAAATAAAGTCAGCATGGTTTTGTGAAAGGGATATCATGTTTGACAAATTTGTTTGAGTTCTTTGAGGATATAATAAGCAGAGCTGATAAAGGGGAATTGATGATATAGTGTATTTGAATTTTCAGAAGGCATTCGATAAGGTGGCACATAAAATGTGATTACAAAAGAAAGGAGTTCAAGGTATTGGATAATACATTAGCATGGATTGAGGTTTGGTTAACATTCAGAACACAGAGTTGGGCTTAATAGGTCTTTTTCAGGTTGGGAAGATGCAATCAGTGGATTGACATCTTAATTATTTGCTACCTATCTTATTGACTTGGAGGAGTGGGCAGAATGTAATATATCTAAATTTGCTGATACCACAAAAATAGGTGGGAAGGGTGTGTTGCGAATAAGGACATAAGGAAACTGAACTGCAGCTGATCTGGGTATTCTTATGCATGAAACACAGGAAGTCAGCATGCAGATGCAGCAAATAATTAACAAGAAAAAAGAATTTTGGCTTTTATTGCTGGAAGTTTGTAGCAGAATTAAAACTGGGAAGTCTTATAATAAGCAAAGTCAGATAATGCTGGATAAACCCGGCGTGTCTGGCAACATCTGTGGAGAGAGAAGTCTTGTTACCAGTGTACAGCATGTTGGTGAGGCTATACTTGGAGGACTGTGCACAGTTTGGATTCCTGTAATATAAAAGGATATACTGGGATTGGAGACTGTTCAAAGGAGAATGAAAAGGCTGTTTCCTAGGATGAAAGAATGACTTATCAATGATGGTTAAACAAGTTATGCCTTTATTCAATGGAGTTTAGAAGAATTTATCTTATTGAAACAAACAAGACTCTGAGGGACCTCGATGATGAGACGATGTTTCCACTAGTGTGGGAATCTCAAACTAGGGGCCATTGGGAGGAATGAAGGCAGTCTCTCTCCTAGAGGGCAGTGAATGTCTAGAATTCTCTACTCAAGAGAGTTGAGTATTTA